ATTGTGCTAATAAAAGGTAATGGATCATGATTCGGATCACACTGGAATGGGTTGTATATTGTGCTAATAAAAGGTAATGGATCATGACTCGGATCACACTGGAATGGGTTGTAGATTGTGCTAATAAAAGGTAATGGATCATGACCCAGATCACACTGGAATGGGTTGTAGATTGTGCTAATAAAAGGTAATGGATCATGACCAGATCACACTCGGAATGGGTTGTAGATTGTGCTAATAAAAGGTAATGGATCATGACCTAGATCACACTGGAATGGGTTGTAGATTGTGCTAATAAAAGGTAATGGATCATGACCCTAGATCACACTGGAATGGGTTGTAGATTGTGCTAATAAAAGGTAATGGATCATGACCCAGATCACACTGGAATGGGTAGTAGATCAGTTGGGTCAAGTGACAACCTCAAAATTATTCTTTTGCTGAATAACTGTTCAGCCCATCCAGATGCTGAGCTACTTGCAAAGAATAATGTGTATGGGATATATCTACCACTTAACTATAGGTCACTAATCCAGCCAATGGATCAGGTCCATGAAATGTACGTATAAAAATGCCTTCATGAGGAAAATGCTTTCAGCCTGCAACCAGGGAGTGGAGATCCAGAACAGTTAAACCAACAGTTTTGGTCAAATACTGACAAGTTACTGTAAAATAACACTTGTTTGACTTGAACTTTCAGTATCATTCAAATATTTAGCCAATTAGACTTTATTAGTACTAAAATTATTGATATTAAAACCTCTTAAGTCATTGAACTTTTATCTCTTAACCTTACAAGTTAACTTGTACGTGTTGTAAAATAATTTGTTAGGAGTTTAAAAAACCTGCAAAAAATATTAAAGCTTCAATAAAAATAACTAAACAAGGTGTTTTTTTTATAACATGCTGATAATTAGTAATTGTTTTACACTATTATTCGATATAAATAGTTGAAGTATAAAAGCTTTTTCATCATGTCAATTAATAATCAAAGGATTATGGGAGGCAACAAAATCAAGGGGTGAAGTAACAGATGATTATCACAGAACTCAAAAACTTTTGTTCAAAACCTACCACAGGATATGACAACAAAACTATACAGCCGTGGTGCTAACAACTATTATGTACAATGGAAGATAATTCCACCAAATCTTCACATAAAAATAGATAGCTTCCCAATCATTCTTCTACTCTAGGGTGCACTGTTTCAGAGCATCCAGTGTTTTAAAAAACCTCCCTGAAATGTGGTAGCCTGGAATTTATGATTTAAACAAAACAGAGAGAGAGAGAGATTAATAATTTCGTGCCCTGACACTTTGAAAAGAAAAAACATTATTAGAAAATGTTTTCATGTAAAATCGTTAATCACAAGAATGTAACAAATCACATAATTTGGAAAAATATGTTTTTATTTGACATGTAATTCCAAAGATCCTAACTGACTTTGATAAATATGTTAAATTCTCTTAACACGTAACCTTGCCATGCATTTCTTTCTCTAGTTTTCTTATTTCTATTACCTAGACTAGGGAGAGAATGTTTGAGAAGCTGAGGACAAGGAAATAGGCAAGTGTAGCTACCTGTTGCACATATGAAATTATTACCTAGACAAGGGAGAGAATGTTTGAGAAGCTGAACAACTAAGGACAATGAAATAGGCAAGGGTAGCTACCTGTTGCACATGTGAAATGAGTTTTCTTATTTCTGTTAGCTAGACTAGGGAGAGAATGTTTGAGAAGCTGAGGACAAGGAAATACGCAAGGGTAGCTACCTGTTGCACATGTGAAATTATTACCTCGACTAGGGAAAGAATGTTTGAGAAGCTGAACAACTAAGAACAATGAAATAGGCAAGGGTAGCTAGCTGTTGCACATGTGAAATTATTACCTAGACTAGGGAAAGAATGTTTGAGAAGCTGAACAACTAAGGAGAAGGAAATAGGCAAGGGTAGCTACCTGTTGCACATGTGAAGTGAGAATAGATGATTTTTTCACTGTCTGGGTTGAGGTCCACAAACATTTTCAAGATGAATTCCCTTCCCTGAACAGCATCTTTCTTTGGTCCTGAAGAATTAGAAATAAACATGTGAGAATTATCAGACTACACGGGAGCACTGCAGAACATAAGTGGAAGTTTGAAAAACATCCTCTGACACATACCTTGCTGTGTTATCACACACATACCTTGTTGTG